AACCCAGTGCCTAATGCAAGGTAAAAAGGGTAGCAGAAGTTTGCCCCAACTATTTACAAACGACTGTCTAGCGCTTCAGTAGGAGAGAACAGCAGTTATGTAAGACACATCACCAGCCCTGCTTGCTTGGGAAATTGCCTTTTCTCCGAATAACCTCGGTTCAATTTAATCCAGTCTGTATGAGTGCAGAAATATCCGGGGAAGCAGGGAGCGGGACCAGGCTTGCTGAACTGTGGCAGGCTAGATTGGGTTACCGTTGTAGGAAGGACACCGCCTCGATCTCTCGTGCCTGGAGGCTCCAGGGCAGCTCTGAGGGGAGGCGGCGCTGCTCCGAGGGGCGCTGTGTGTGCCGGGGCAATAGTGGGCTGGCACTGGCAGGTGGCCCCGGCCTCAGGCGGTGCAACAGGCTTCTCTTAAGGGCAGCAGCGTGCCCCCGGGGGGCAGCCCCCAGCCTTATCAGCGCGGCCACGTGTGCGCGGGCAGCCGGGCGGAAGGGGCCGGGAGGGAGCCCGCAGCGCCGCCGCCCAGGCCCGCAGGGCGCGGAGAGGCAGCTCGGTATGAGTCTCCTGCTTTGGCTCTGGCTGTGGCCGACCGGCGCGGGGGCAGCGGGGTAAGTGCGGGCGGCAGCGCGGGCGCGGGAGAAGGGCTGTGGGCAGCGCAGGAGTCCCCGTTGCGCTAAACCCCCACGGCGAGACGCCGCCGTGCGGAGCAAAGAGCCGCTTCCAGACGGGGCGGTCCATGGGGCAAGCGCACGTAGTGCCGCTATGGAAGTGCCCCCAGATTCGCAAGATGATGTACACCAGGGGCGGGCAGTTATTTCGGGCGGAGGGCCGCTTCCTGAGTTTTGGCAAGCCATCGAGGGCCGCATGACAGGCCGCCAGGGGCAGATAAATATGAATTTTCTACATTTTTAGGGGCCCCTCAGGCCGGATAGAATGGCCTGGCAGGCCGCATCTGGCCTGCGGGCTGCATTTTGCCCGCCCCTGATGTAAACCCTGCTGTTTGGCTCTTGCTGGGAAGGAAAAGCCTCCACCCCACTGGCAAAAAATGCTGCAACTGCTCCTTTCTGGTCCTCTGAAGCATCAAGTACTAGCTGCGGTGGAGACCAAATCCTGCTTGGCCCCCTGCCAGGGATGCCACCCCTGGAGAGCAGCCTCCAGGGGTGATGGGCAGCTGGCTGGCTTGATCTATCCGGGAGGGCACAGCCTAGTCCTTTTACATCCTCACTTCCAGCTCTGGTTACAGGTGTCAGTCTCCAGGTGGATCCCTATGACAAAAAGCATATCGGAGATATTAGGGAAACATTTTGATTTCCAAGCATAGCAGCTGTTTCCATTTCCAGTTGATCGAGATCATGTGTAACGTCAAAAAAGATAAATGCCAGGTGGCATGTGAAGCAAACTGCATGGCCAAATTGCTTTAAAGCAACATGCCCATTTAGGTAGGGCATCTTCATGCCATCTGGCAAAATTACACCTCTCTTCAGAAGTGGGCAGTAACATCAGTGAATATTTGTAGATGTGTTTGTGTTTTGTGATTGATTTCATGGCAAATTCACAATATTTTAATGTGTGTAGGTACGTGAAGGTCTGAACTGTATACGTTTGAGCTTGAGATAGCTATGTGTATATGGTTTCGTAGCAATGTTCACACGCTTTATTAGCCAACTTGTAGTCCGACTCATTGTGGTGTTGATCTTGTTACTGTTGAAGCCAACAGAAGTCTTTCTTTTGACCGCAGTGGAAACTGGATTAGGGCCCATATCCAGGCAGAATATCATTGACTAGACAGGATAAGGTGATTTCAATTTCTGAGGAAAATACTGAATGTTGCCATCAGGAGGCAAGAGATGACACATCATCCAATGCAATGGCAAAATAAACAGTTCTTATCTCCTGTGACTGTGGTTTCAGGAACATACTCCCTGTTCCCTATCATCAGATTTAAGGGATCCTGAGGTAGCTTTTAGTGTAGCTGTTCTGAACTTAAAAAACTAAATTAAATGCACGCTGGTTGCAAATGCACATGAATAGGTTTTTGTTTCCTGTGATGATTTAGAAAAAGGTGAATAATTTACAAGGGCATCATCATCTTTGAAATAAGAATTTTGTGCTATTTCATAAGAGTTTTAAAGGAAATCTTAAATTCACTTTGAATAAAATAAATATGATCTGCAACTGAAAAAGGTCTTTTTTTATGGTATGGAAAACTGGTGTGCATTACTCCTGAAAAACCAACCCATGTTCCTCATTTGCCTTCTTTTTGAGGCTGTCTCTACATGGACTCACAAATACCTTTCAGACAATATTGCAACTTGTAAGAGGTGTTTAAAAAATTCATAATTTACACATGCAAATTATATGAACTGTATCATCTCTAGGATGGAAATTAATTTTGTATCTCTAGGGAAAAATGTACATTCAATCTATTATTTCCATTATTGTGTGAAATAGTTACCTGTTGCACTCTCAAATACTTCTTCAAAATGCTAAATAGGCTTAATTATGTGTATGCAGCATTTGTGTATGTTCAAGCTGTTTTGTTAGTTTCAGTCAAGGAGAAAATCAGTTTGATGTGTTAAGATAATGAAAAAGAGATACAAAAAGAGAAACACACAAAACACATTTTTATCAATAAACATGTTAAGGAAACAATTACTTATTTTATTCCAGTCAAAATCTTATATACAAAGTTCATGTTAATTTGTGATAAATTAATCATATATGCCATATGCAGGTAAACCTTCTAATAAAACTACATTTCTAGAATATCTTTGTTACAAGTCATTTTTCTAATGGCTGTGTTCTTGATATTAAGTTTTATAACCCTTGTACTAATTGTTTATACATTAAAGATATAAAAACCGACATAGTTTGATAAACAATCCATCTGTCCAGGCAAAAGTGAAAATGTTTGTTGAATTGTATACATAATGCTGTAGAGAACATCTCTTGTAGGGCATGACTGAGAAATAAAATAAATGAAAATAAGGAGGAAGGAAAAAAAATGACAGGGAGAAAATAGTATGAAATGGAGCTGATACATAAATCCATTTTGAATGGCCAGTTGCTCACACAGAAGACTGTAAATTTACATGTTGCAAAAGTATGAATGGATGTTGTAACCCCTGCAGTGTAAAAGTAACAGCCACTTTTATAGATAGCTTTCCATTTCTGAATCTGTACCCATGAACAAATAGCTTCATTCACAGAGATGCTACTGGATTTCACAAAGACACCTTAAATGGCTGCTATTTCTGTTAAGGAGCCAAGTGCCAGGTATACTCACAACCTTCCATGTGGCCATTAAATTCTCACTTGCCTGTCAGAAGGCCACTAAAAGTGAATATTGAAGCTCAGAGACCAAAAAACTAGGAGGCATTCCCTACAGCAGAGGCAGATTTCTAAGGGCTTTGGTACAGTTGTGAGCCATGTTAATTCTTTTGAGCTGCTCTGCTAAGTAGCTGCATATTTATTTAGGTACTTATATAGTTCACTTCTCAATATATACTTTTTACTATGTTAAAAAATGGCGAGTAACCCATTTCTTCTTCAGTAGACAATAATGTACTTAGGATTTGGATGGAAATAGGAATTTGATTAAATGTGCAAAACCAGCATTTTAAAATAGGTTATTATTAGTTAAAGCAATCTAAAATATACTGGGTACATCAGGAAAAATATCAGAACATGTTACCCACTTAAAAGTTACTGATTCATTGTTTAATAAACAAATGAATTATTAACTTTAGCAAATAAACAGATTGTTTGCGGTCACTATGGACCAGGTTTCTGACCATATTTAGGTGTGTAAGGATGCTGATAGACCCCCAGTGGGATTTTTAAAACTGCCGGAGCACTTTAGGTATGTGACTCCCGTTAGTCAATTGAAATCAATTACAGTTAGGTGCCTAACCTGCTTAACCTTTCTTGAAAACCTTTCTAGGCTCTTATTTGTATCTTTCAAGTGCCTAAATGCCTTTAGAAATCTGGATCCAATATTTTAGAATTAGTAGACTGATATTTTAGAATTCATTGATTGGAAAAGGAAAATTATCTTTCCTGCTTTTTCAGCCCTGAATTGGTTTTTCAATTTTGAATAAGCTAGTCTAGATGAAGGAAGCAGTCTCTTTGCACATCACGCCTACACCAAAACAAATACATAAGCTAAAAGTGTTTCTGCAGAACTGAAGCTGAAAATACATTTATGTGGAAAAGGTTAATGCCAAGTATTGCACCATAACAAAGACTGAAATAATATATGTATTTGCCAGTGCAACAAGCAACGTTATGAAATACTTCTGAAGGTTGAGTTTGCCTCAGAAGTTAAAAAGCAACACCTTAAAACTGATTAGAATTTGAACAGGGCGCATGGATGCATCATATATGTTCCCAGTATTTATCTAAACAATTTTAATAGCTTATATTTAGGTTTTGGTATAGGGTCTTATAACATCAAATTTACTTCTACACAGGATAATATTTTAAAGAAAAATATAATTTAAATATTTATTTTATTTAAGCATCCATTTTATCCATTGTGTGGACAAAAGTCTGTGCCACAGGCTTTCTTTATGGCCTTGGGCAGGTCATTTTGGGAATGTCTGCACAGATAATTGTGGCTGCCTATCCACAGTGAGAGTCCCTCATCCTGATGGGCAGGAGCAGTCCATCCTGCACCAGGAAGCTCTGCTGAACGTCACGGTCAGAGGATGACCCCCTGCTGCTGCTCTTTTCCTCTCCAGGACTCTGTCTGGAACTTGCTTAGGTCTGCACGTCTCCAGTACAGGGATGCCACCACTAGTAAATCCACAACCCCTTCTTCCTTATTTCCAGGCTTTCTGTATCACGTTTCCTCTCTCCAGTATATGTAAAAAAGGCTATGTAGTCTATACATCAATGTTAAAACAAAAATCGCAGTAAGGGTGGCTTTGGAGCAGGCTACAAGATATGATAGGGCTGTCCATTTCTAAGCAGCCAGGGGCCACATGCCTCACAGGTCTCATCACATCATTCAGGCCACACCAGTGGAAGCCATTGACCCCACAGGTCTCACACAGTGCAGGCGCCCTCCCGTACTGAATACGTGGGCGTCTTGGATTCGCTTTTAGTTCCCTGGTCATGGGTGCCCTGGGCTATGGGCTCCCCTAACACTGCTGTGGAAGTCAGAGGAGGGAGGGAGAACCTGGAGACTACAGTTGCTGCCACACCAAGAATAGTGGGTGTTGGGGCTGCAAATTAACTCCAAGTGAGCCACCAGTTGGACAGCTCTGAGGTATGATGTAGATGGGGAAGAGCAGCTCCGTTGGGGGTGACCTCAGTTTTGATCCTAAATATCTGTGTAGACATGTCCTTTATATATGTGCAGAGGAAACTAACACTGGAGATTAGGAAGAACTTTCTGACTAAGAGGATGGTTAGACATTGGAACAGGCCACTTAGAGAAGGTGTGGGCTCTCCATCCTTAGAAGTTTTTGTCACGACCCAGTGATTTTTTGTGCCTTGGCACTATGGAATTTCCTGGCCACATGAGAGCTCCTTTGCACAGCAGAGTGTTCTGCTGCAATTAAGAGCCTGCGTGCAGGAGAGTTCCCGCCAATTTGCAGTTTCC